AGTGACAACTTAAGAAGCACGGGGAGGGGCGAGAATCTTATCCGCCGCCAATGAGAGTCTAGAAGAACGTGTGTCCCCACCGGCACTCACCCGTGAGAAAGGGATGCTGCCGAAACGTCGGGGGTATACTATTTAATAAACTTGGTGAGAGTTTGCAAATTTTGTCTGATGTCTCCCTCTAACTAGGCAGAGAGCTGCCAAACCTTTACTTTTGAACGATGAACGGAGCAAGAACCACAATAAACAACGGTCTGCGCCTCTTACACTGTCAGCGACTCTAAAAGACGCTAGACACCGTGACATCGAAGAGAAAACAAAAACGGAAAACAGACAAGGAACTTCGCTCCTAGACAGCACTCAGCGCATCCTCAAACTAACGCCCCTTGATGCCTTTGTATTTGTTAGTGGCACAAATGCGCCACTGCATGAGGTACATGCCTCGTGCGGCCTTTGGAAGCAATGGCGACGATGCGACCGACTTGAGCCAACACCGTCTATACTTCGTTTCAGCTTCGGTCCGAGCGCGGCCGATGTTATGAGCAGAAGGGCCAGTCAAACAGCGCAAAAAGCGAAACGTCATGGCCTGCTCTCTGCAGTTGATAGGACCAGCCGGTATTCGCCGTGTCTCTGTGCGCGCTCCTCAGCCGGCTAGTCCTATCAAGGGCTGAGAGCACGCAATGACGCTGCGCTTTTTGCGGTGTTTGATTGGCCCTTCGGCTCGTAACTCGGCCGCGCTCGTACCGAAGCTGAAACGAAGTATAGAAACTAAAGCCTGCCCACACGCTCCGTGACGTCACTGTACAGCTAGGCTAGCGAGCGGAAAAGCGACTGTCGGCTGTGCGCTGGGCTTGGCTGCGCCGACGCTGGGCCTTTCCTCGCTTGGAAATATTGTACGAATGTCACTTAACCCTTGCGCGACAACGACGTAATTAATCGAATTACAGCTTTTATAATTAGAAGTCTGTATAAAACTTTGACTTTTAGGGTTTACTATCAAGTTTCGACGACTGAAAACACATATATGGCAAAAATATTAGCGACTATACCTTTTTAAACAGAACGTAACGGCGCAAGTGAGCTGGTGAATATTGTACATCTTGAGACGTTCGCCTTCTCTTCTCTCGGTGTCAACTTTCGTATTTCCTCAATACGCCTTTTCCGAAATTATTTAACTTAATACATTTTATAGAACCAAAGTGCTGCTTTGCTATCACGAATATTTTAATTTGAGACATATTTCTGACGCCCATACTTACCTACCACACAACTAGAAAATACCTGAAATAGCATTTTATGCCAAGCGCCTTCCAAATGGTTCTTTGAAATATAAAATAAAAGTAACAGCACGCTTTCTAGCTCCCACGTTTATTTAAACGACCACTTTTCTATTAAAAAAAAAAAAACATTGTACAAAAATGTTGTGTTTTTTTTTACATTAGTTTTTTACGAACACTGGCAGTCGCTTTTTGGCTGGAGGCATACCTTTGCATCCTGCACTAAGGCGTCATTTTTCCCTTGCACGTTTTATTGGGAAGAATGTTAATCAACAAGGTTAGGACGAGTTTAAAGAATGATTGAGGTGTGTGGTCGCTTGTACGAGTGTTCAACTCTACGAACTTTGGCAACGTAATTTGTATCAGGTCCCTGACAACTTTTCTTTGATCATGTAACCGAAAGCACTAAGCGATGTGCTGGGACGACATAAGTTTGTTTACAACAACTTCAGCGTGCATTATCGCAATGACAACCAGTTGTGTTGGAAGGTGCAGTCCACTTCGATTTAAGCATCTATCAAATGATGAACCGCTGCATCGTGAGGAAGTGTCTTTTCCAAAACCGAATGCTATCTGCCTTACTCACATTTCAATTCTTTCACAGTCACATAGTCGAACTATCCCTACGCAGGTCAGAATAGGAGTTTTGGAAGACAGAGCCGCTAAATCATAGTCGGTCTTGTCGAATGCAAAAGGCATAACACAAATCAAAATACTCTGCGCAAGTGACTCGCATGCTAATACCAACCAAATATTTCAAACAATTTTGAAAGTGGTAACTCGTTCTAAAAGTATGACTTCTTCAAACTACAGAAAATAGCAGAGTATACCGGGATTAGCAAGCATTTGTGACGTGACCCATCTGTTAGGGGGAGAATAGTGACGTCTGGGGCACACAAAAGAAAGTCCCGGTGAGAGGGGTCTCCCTTTTTTCCCTCTTCTCTGGTGGTGGCCGGAGAGCTGACGTCATGACGTCAGGTGCAAATCATGTGTATTCCTCTACCTGGAGAAAGTCTCCGTCATATGAGTACGCCACAAGAGCAATGTCACACTGTCAACATTAACGCCGTTAATGAAAGAATGCGACGACTTCAAGCTTGCCACATGCTTTTTGCACACGCCATCAAACTTGTCGTTCGACGCCATCTTCTTTTCTCGCGGGAACGATGGGAAAATCCTTGGCTCTCGGCGGTGTACGTGAATTAGCAAACATCCATGATGTAGCGCACGTGACTTCGAAGTGCAATGACATCTGCTCTTCTCTGTGAAATCTCCGACGTGCGAATAAACCGTCAGGAACTTCACCATGAGAGATACATGGCGACGTGGGAAAGCCTTCTCGCATGCAGTGCTACGCAAAATTAACTTCGACCTTGCGAATATTTAGCGTGACACTCCCCTAAACCTACCGTATTTGCACGCCGACATTGTTCAGAAAAAAGTTGTGTTTCGTACGGGAAAAACTCGACAACGATCGGGGAGTCGAGCTTTCACCACGCAATTCGACCGGTAAGCACACGAATAGCACAAAAAGTGCCAAAAACGAACCATCTCGTGGCGGCGTTAAATTAAGGGAACACCGTACATTCCCAGGGTGTATGCAAGTTTTCATTTACAAAAAGATGAGACAAAGCTAAGACGTCTTAAACGAGTCATAGGCTTAGCGTGCTTGGAGAAGGGCTTTTGAAAAAGTGTGAAATTCCGAGCTAGGCTTCTTGGCGCATCTATAGTAACTTGCTTGCCCAAAGTGCCCTGGTACAATGGATAAGACTTTCAGAAAGTAATATTTTTAAGCTTTTTTTTTTTAATGTCATAAGACAATTTAATAGATGGAATTTTTTTTCTCAATTCAGACACGTGTTTGGGGTCAAATGTTTTAATTAAAAAATAGCGTGTTCTGGGAGAATTTCTGAAATGAACGACCGCGCAAACGACAAGCTTGGCAGACTTTTTTTTTTCTAGTCATTAATTATTTTTTTTATTTACACAGTACCTACATCGCACAGGGGGCATTATTGTAGGGGGTACATGGTACAGGAAAGTAAAACGATTATTTATTTATTTATTTATTTATTTATTTATACATACTGCAGCCCCACTGGGGCTATGGCAGGAGTGGGAGGTAAACACAGACGGTCCGGACATCACTGTGGACCACTGTCAACGGCACACAGAAATTCATCTGGTTGTAGTGATCGGATGTTTCCTGGTAATAAATTCCAGCGTTCAATAGTGTGAGGAAAAAAACTGTATTTAAACATATCAGTACGAGGATGAAAAGGTAAAATGTTTAATTCATGGTGGCTCCGAGTTGCAGTTGGCTCGAGAAACTTTATGTAGTTATGTAACGAGTCAAAACGTGATGAGTTAACCATGAAATACAGAGACTTTAGGCGCTCGATACCACGACGCTCAGAAAGAAGTCTTAGACCTAACACGGAAAGATTAGAAGAAGGAGAAAAGTTTCTGTCATACCGACGACAAATAAAACGTACCGATTTCTTTTGTACTGATTCGACCTTTTTTATATCGGACTCTTTGTAGGGATACCAAATAATAGAACCATATTCGAGGATTGGGCGAATCAAAGTTTTATAAGTTAAAAGCTTAGTATCTTGTGGTGCCACACGTAAGGTACGCCGCAGGTATCCAAGTCTTTTAAGAGATTTGTTACATGTCGTATCAATGTGCTTAGACCAAGATAAATCAGGCGTGAAAAGGAGGCCAAGATATTTATATTCAAAAACTCTTTCTAGGCATAACCCGTCAAATGAATAATTAAACACAGAAGGTGATGAACGCCTAGAAAAGGTCATAAAAACCGTTTTACTAAAATTCAGGTTCATTTGCCAGGTTTTACACCACGTACAAAAATTCACGAAAGAATTGTTAAGAGTTATATGGTCATCTGAGGAGTTTATCACATGATATAGTACGCAGTCGTCAGCGTAAAGTCGGACCTTAGTGGAAATACAGCGTGGCAAATCATTGATATATAACAAGAAAAGTAGCGGTCCAAGAACTGACCCTTGTGGAACACCTGATGATACGTCAACTGTACTAGACTTGGATGAGTTAAAGTAGACAAACTGAGACCGTTGGGAAAGAAAACTGGATATCCAGTTCACAAGGTGATGATTATTTAGAATTAGGTTAAGCTTGTGTAGGAGTTTAGAATGAGGAACGGTGTCGAAAGCCTTTGATAAATCTATAAATATCGCATCAACTTGGTTACCGATGTCAAGAGACAGACCGATATCATGAACAAACTCTGTTAGTTGTGTCATAGTACTATAACCGCGTCGAAAACCATGTTGGAAATCGCATAAAATATTGTTAGTATCGAGAAACTCTATTACATGCCTGTAGACTATATGTTCCAATAATTTGCATGAATGTGACGTTATAGAAATTGGTCTATAGTTTGACAGTGATTGTGAGTTGCCAGATTTGTATACGGGAATAATTTTTGCGAGTTTCCATGATGAAGGAACTGTGGCCGTTGACAGTGATTTCTGAAAAATAACCGTGAGATACCGACTGCACCATTGGGAGTACCTGACAATAAATGAATTAGGAATGTCATCAGGACCAGGACTTTTTTTAGTGTCTAACTTCAAAATCAGGTTTAGTACGCCCCGAACGTTCACATCTATGTCGTCAACCGCAGACTGCGAAACATGAGTAAAAGGAGGAACTTCGAAATTATCAACTGTAAATACTGACTGAAAGTACGTATTAAACGCTGTAGCGATTGTCAGCGCGTCCATAGTAGTTACGTCGTTAATTATAAACGAGTTTGAAATTGTGCTGCCTGGTAAAATAGACCAGAATTTTCGAGGGTTGCATTTTATTAAGTTTTGTAAGGTAACACGGAAATAGAAGTCCTTCGCGGAATTAGTTTTTAGTCGAAGTTCCCCCTTAGCTTGAATAAACTGAGCAGACTTTACTGGGTCAGCGCAACGTTTTCCACTCCGCAGTCTGCCGACCCGTCGCGATAAATGTAATAATTCTCTTGTTATCCAAGGTTTGACAATGTTACTTTTTTTAGTTTTGAGTGGCACAAATCGCTGGATACACGATTTAACCAAGTCTTCAAAAAATGTAATGAGTACATTCACGTCACTGGAGATACTAAGTTGTTCAAACACTTCAAAGGAATAGCTTAATGAGTCAATTATGGACACATCATCGGCACGGTTAAAATCAGGAAAAGTGTGGTAAACAAAACGTGTTTTAGGGACAGGATAAGCAACAGAAACAAGGACTGCCCTGTGATCTGATATACCGTCAACGACTTCACATTCAAAATGGTTTTCTAGAAGAGGTATACTAAGAAATACCAAATCTAAAACTGACGACTCTCTCGTGCTCTCCTGAACAATCTGTTTTAAACCAAATGACAAAGAAAAGTTCACTAACTCTCTAGATATTTGAACGTCAGGACCAGATAGCGACAAAGACGACCACTGGATGCCAGGTAAATTGAAATCACCCATTAATATTAAATTGGAAGAAGACAGGTTATGCTCGTACATAAAGTCAGATAAAGCATGTAACTGATCAATGGGAGAGCCGGGAGGGCGGTAGACAACGCCAACAACTAAAGATATATTATCCACATTAAGTTTGCACCACACTGATTCAATCTGGGGAGGACCCTGTATAACTGAAAATTTAATATTGGACTTTAAAAAGAGTGCGACGCCACCGCCACGCCCGTACTTTCTATCACCTCTAACCACGCAGAAACCAGAGGGTGTAATTTCGGTGTCGTATATGCCATCATGTAACCATGTTTCAGTGACTCCAATAATGTGAGCAGAGTGGGAAGAAATTAGTGACAGAAAATCGGGGAACTTGTTTACTAAACTTCTGGCGTTAACATTCAAGACACAAAGATTTTCACTTAAACCGTCTTTTAAACCGCGGCCGAGTCAACGACCACCAGTAGATGGGGCGGTGATAGTAGACTGGGCGGAGTAGTCGGAACACTTAACCAGAGTATTAGTTTTAACATCCCAATTATATCGCTCATTATTGATGAACACATGATCATATCGAAGGCGAACGGAGGAGCCACTGTCACGGAAAGAGGCCGTCGCATCCCATATTTTCTTTCGAACAGAACGGACATGAACAGAGAAGTCTTCCGATATACGAATATCTGAACCCTTAAGCTTGAAAGAATTTTTCAATACTTCCATTTTTTCGCGAAAATGAAGGAGTTTCATAATGACAGGACGTGAACGATCGTCGTGTTTTCGACCTATTCTATGGCACCTTTCAATACGTGGGCAGTCAATAATCAGTTTATCCGAGAATATTTTTGATACGTTAGAGAGTAATGACTCACTAGTTTCGTCTGCGCTTTCGGTGAGGCCATATAAGATTAGATTATTTCTGCGCGAGCGGTTTTCCATGTCGTCATTCCTCGCGACGAGTCTGTCTACCACACCAGACAATGACTTAAGCTCTATAAGCAGATTGTCACAAGATGTACAAGGGACACTTGGCGTGGCAGAAGGCGACTCGAGGGCAGCCACTCGTGCTTCAAGAGCGTCAAATCGGGAGTTAACTGACTGTTGGAATAATTTGATTTCAGCTATGTCCTGAGCCATCTTTTTCTGGCCAGCCAGCAATTCAGCAAACATATCCGAAACTGTGGGTTGTCTCTCGATATCTCTTCCGTCATTATCGCTCTCACCCGAATTAGCAGCCCTCGAGTCCTCTGTAACCGAAACTACGTTGTCTTGTTTTGTTTTTTTGCTGTCTTTTTTTGGTGGTCCTGGATTCGTTTCAACGTCTCCACTAAGGAGAAGGCTATTGATGCAATACACCAGCTGAGAGCACAGGTCAACAAAACAACAAATACCGTGATCGTATCCATGTGGGCGAGGAAATAGCAGTAAAAAGCGATTATCGGACCGTACACAATGAGCGTTCTGAAGGTAACATACCTGCGAAAGAAGCAGACAGCGGTTGAGCATACTGTCCTCGCTGCTATCGCCTCGCCCACTGAAGAGGAAAGATGCCGGTGAAGCTTTTCTATCCTCGTTAACCGACGTCACAGAACTGGGCCTTTCAATGATTGGACGATCCAGGAGGGCATCACCGACGGGGGTGACTTGCAGATTCACGGTTTGTAGGCCGTTAAGGAAACCGTGAACATCCTCAATTCCGCTGGCAAGGAAGTCCGTGGACGAACAAGACGGGTCGACCACGCAGCATGGAACAGTTGACGAAGCAGGAAGCGCCGGCAGTAGCTGGTATCCGTGCGCCGCGGTAGCATTGTACACAGGAACAGCGAGGGACACGAAGAACTGCGAAAGAAGCAGACAGCGGTTGAGCATACTGTCCTCGCTGCTATCGCCTCGCCCACTGAAGAGGAAAGATGCCGGTGAAGCTTTTCTATCCTCGTTAACCGACGTCACAGAACTGGGCCTTTCAATGATTGGACGATCCAGGAGGGCATCACCGACGGGGGTGACTTGCAGATTCACGGTTTGTAGGCCGTTAAGGAAACCGTGAACATCCTCAATTCCGCTGGCAAGGAAGTCCGTGGACGAACAAGACGGGTCGACCACGCAGCATGGAACAGTTGACGAAGCAGGAAGCGCCGGCAGTAGCTGGTATCCGTGCGCCGCGGTAGCATTGTACACAGGAACAGCGAGGGACACGAAGAACTGCGAAAGAAGCAGACAGCGGTTGAGCATACTGTCCTCGCTGCTATCGCCTCGCCCACAGGCGTCACATTGTATCAAACATGTTAATAAAAAGTAAGACTGTTGATTGAAAGAAGTGCAATAAGACTATTACAAAAACTGTTACACAAAATCAGAAACATAACAGTACAAAAACAAAAACACAGCACACAAATATTAAAGGATGTCTAATAATGAGGTGGAAAACATAGCATCCGAAGTCTCAGCGACCAGGTGCTGCGGAAGACTGTTCCAATCACTAATTGATTTTGGGAAATATGAGTTCTTAAACATTTCAGTTTTACACCTAATATTCTTTATTTTTAGCGGGTGGTCCACCCTTGAAGACAGGTAATCAGGATTTTGTAAGTAGTGGTCCTTCACAATACCTGTTTGTCCTAAGTAAATACTTCTGAAAAGTTTCATTCTAATATATTTTCTCCGCGAAACCAGAGATTTCCACTCCAGTTGTTTCTTTAAATCTGTTATACTTGAGCAAAATTCATAATTATTTGCAACAAAACGGGCTGCTCTATTTTGCACACGCTCTAGTTTCGATATTAAATTTACACAATACGGGTCCCACGCTGGACAAGCATACTCTAAGATTGGCCTAACATTAGTTACGTATAGCAGCTCCTTAATATTTGTTGGGGCCATTTTGAAATTCCGTTTGATAAAATTTAAAACGCGGTTTGCCTTTGCTGTTATTGCGTCGACGTGCTTAGTCCAGGAAAGATCTACGCTAAGATAAACCCCTAGATATTTGACATCAGCTACCTCCAGAAGGGCAACACCGTTCAACTGATATTTTGATAGATAAGGCTGCTTTTTTTTTTTTGGTGAATCTAATATAATTGCATTTATTGATATTACGATACATTTGCCATTTGTCACACCAGGTCATCACCTTTTCAAGGTCTGGCTGAAGTAGAAGAGAATCATCCTCACATTTAGCCTCTCTATAGATTACACAATCATCTGCATATAATCGGACACTGCATGTTAGGTTTTGTGCTATGTCATTGATATATATCAAAAAGAGAAGTGGGCCAAGTACAGACCCCTGTGGGACACCCGAGGTTACATCCGCATATGGAGAATTTTGACCACCAACAACTACGCATTGTTTACGATTTAACAAATAATCATTTATCCAACCAAAAAGATAGTCAAGAAGGGCCAAAAACGACAACTTGTGCATAAGAAGTGAATGTGGTACTTTGCCGAATGCTTTTTGAAAATCTAAAAGCAGGCAGTCAACCTGAACATTTTTATCTAGTGAAAGTGAGAGGTCATATAAAAACTCAGTGAGCTGAGTTTTATATGCGAAAACTGACGTTTCTTCCACCTGTCGGAGATCGCATGTTTGGCCACTCGCTATTCTTTCACTTCTCACACTACGGCACTAGAAATCTTTTGTGATATTTTGAAAATAAATCTTATGGCGCTTAATAAACAAATAAAAAGTATTTTGGAACAATTTAAAAAAAAAGTAGAACTTTCTTTTTACAATGACTTTTGGCAAAGATTGGCAAGTTCTTACATGCGACCTACATAAGGTATTTAAAAACCTTGATACCACACAAAAAAAAGCTAAACCTAGTTATTTTAGTGCATCTAAATTCAATATGTGTACAAAATGAAATTCGTTATATACATGGGTGTCCCCCCCCCCCCCCCCCCCCCCTAAAAAAAACAAAAAAACATTTACCGGGCATTTTTTACCCTGAATACAAACTATGCATTCTCGAACGCTTATTTTCCTCCAAAATGTTGCACTTACGAACCAGATGGCAAAGTTTCAGCACTCACCGTTACTCTATTCAACGGTCCGGGATTTTTTGAAATTTTGAATGGGAAAATGGCGGACGACAGAGCTCTACGGCACCAGTTACCGAAAACGGGCGAAAATGGACCCAATTTTCCCGTTGAAACACGTAAGCTTAAAAGTACCTGAAATAGTGCGCGATGCCAAGTAAAAGTTATTTTACTCCGCAACAAAGCTTGCCGTTTTCCAACACACATTTAACAACATTCAAGCTTGATTTCCAGTGGTATACACAAAACACGTAATAATTTATTTATATTTCATAATAGATCACGATCATACCTCCGTAATGACAGAAACATGAAGCAAATGTATATAACAAATTTTAATTTGTACACAGGCACGTAACCAGGATTTTTTTTTTTTTTTTTGGTGGGGGCGCTTATGACAAAATGCTGTATGAGGGGGAGGGGGGAGAGGAGATCCCAGCAAAATGGAAGATTTCGGGGGGGGGGGGGGGAGAAGCCGGGCCACATGCCACCCCCCCCCCCCCCGCCCCCCTGGCTACGTGCCTGTTTGTTCATATGATATCGAAATTATATGAAATAAAAATAGCTACATTTGAGGTTTCTGGTGATATTAAGGTCATTAGATTATCTTAAATAGACCTGACTTACAAGACTGTCACGCATTTTGTTTTATTACTTTAAAATGTAAGATTTTCTTTCTTTCTTTTTTTGTTTCATTTGGGATAGTAAAATATATTTTGAAAAGGGCAAAGAAGAGTCCTACTGCGATTGCTAGAGAAGGGACAAAATAGCGAGCGGTCAAACTTGCGATCCCCGACAGGTGGGAGAAACGTCAGTTCTGGCCTCGGCCGCTTCAATGATAAAAAAACCCAAAAACTCGAAGACAAAACAAAACAAAATCCGTCAAGCTTGCCCGTTTGCTTTCCTTTCAAGAATAAACCGAAAAATTATATATCCTTGTAAAAAATGAAAATATCGACCCCATACCGTGCCTGAGTGGGATGAAAACACCGATATTTTTTTACTCTTTGATAGCGATATGGTATGCATGCGCAAAGGCCCGGCGAAGTATCGAGCATAGTTATCGGAACAATCTATTCAACCGAACTTAGTCGGTACCTCAAGAAATACCGTTCTTTGTAGGCAGAGCTTTTATCTAGGCACTTTAATTTAACAAATATGCAGCGCCTTCCTGTCATACAGTATTTTCAAATAAAAAAATCGAAACTAATACAAAAAAAAAGGACGACACAACGAAGTTATTCGTTTTTTTCTCCAGTCTAGGGGTTTTGTCTTAAAATATGTTCAATCATCACCAGCTAGTTTGAGCCTCACTTTTTGTTCATTGAACCAAGATTCTGTAACATCCAGTCGCTTTTCAATTTTTTGTCGTTCTTGATAGATAAGTCAATCGTCAAGTGTCGCTA